ACACGTGTTCAATCAACTCCTCTTCTGCCGTTGCCTCCCTCATGCACACACACCTCTCGTTTGAAGTAATTGGAGAGTATCTTGGCGCACTTCACAGCACAGCACAGCACAGCACAGCACAGCACAGCACAGCACAGCACAGCACAGCACAGCACAGCACAGCACAGCACAGCACAGCACAGCACAGCACAGCACAGCACAGCACAGCACAGCACAGCACAGCACAGCACAGCACAGCGCAGCGCAGCGCAGCACAGCACAGCACAGCACAGCACAGCACAGCACAGCACAGCGCAGCGCAGCGCAGCACAGCACAGCGCAGCGCAGCACAGCACAGCACAGCACAGCACACCGCACACACACACCTCTCGCTTGAAGTCATTTGTGAGTATCTTGGCGCGCTTCACAGCCCACACCACCGAGGGATCATCGGGGCACACCCCCCGATACACCTCCCCATAAGCTCCCGACCCAATATGATTCGCCTCTGCCCAGTTATCCGTCGCCTTGGCAACCACGTCTAAGGGGTATCGTTGGCACATGAGGGACTGCGTTGGTACCGATGCCCCTGCCTCTTTTGATGCTCCATCGCTTGGTTTGGCACCACTTGACGATTCACGTGCTGGTGGTGGGCATGGAGGGGAAGAGCGGGCGGGAAGGGGGGGGGTGGGGGGGGGGGGGGGGGGGGGGTGAGAATCAGGCCTATTCTTATAGCGGCTCAGAAGTCCTCTTCTATGTGCCTCCACTGTCCCTTCAAAACGCCTCTGCTCAGTTATCAGTCGCTGTGGCAACCACAGCTAAAGGGCATCGCTGACACATGAGGGACTGGGTTGGTACCGATGCCCCTCCCCCCCTCGATGCTCCATCGCTTGGTTTGGGCCCACTTGACGACTCACGTGCTGGATGGGTGAGAGTGGGCAATGGGCGTGGGGGAGGGGGAGGGGGAGGGGAGTCATCACTTCTCTAAGGCGTGTTTCAATTAAATCCCTTCAACGTGTCTCCACCACTGTCCCTTCAATGCGCCCATGTCCAATGATCAGTTGTTGCCTTGGCAACCACGTCTAAGGATTATCGCTGGCACACGAGCGACTGGGTTGGAACAGACGCCCCTCCCCCTCTGGATGCTCCATCGCTTGGTTTGGGACCAACTGACAACTCACGGTGCTGGGAGTGGGCATGGGGAGGGGGATGGGGTAGGGAGAGGAGATTTCAGCAGTTGTTTAGGCAACGCCCCTACGATGCTCCATCGCTTAGTTTGGGACCAACTGACAACTCACGTGCTGGGTGGGAGTGGGCAATGAGCGCGGGGGAGGGGAGTCAGGCATTTTCAATGAGCCGAAACCGAAGCATGGGCTAATTATCATGCTGAGAAAAAAATATCATCCTAAGATCTACCAAACTACCGAATCACCAGCAGGTCAAATTCCTGGCAAGCCGCTGACAAAAATGAGAGCATGCTGAGAAACCGCTGCTCATCCCTGCGACAACTCACCACACCGCACCGCACCACAGCCTACCACTTCACCTTCTTTGGACTTTCGTTTGCAGAGAAAGAAAACGCCAACAACAAGGAGAGCAGCAGCCAGGACACCTCCCCGAGCAATCCCAGCGATAGCTCCCACAGACACGGCAGAGGAGGGAGGAGGAGGAGGCGAGGGAGGAGGAGGTGAGGGAGGAGGAGGTGAGGAAGGAGGAGGCGAGGGAGGAGGCGAGGGAGTAAGAATAGCACCAACCTGCCATGGACTTGCGTTTGTAAAGAAGCCACGCGCCCACAGCGAGGAGAGCAGCAGCTAGGACACCCCCCAGAGAAATCCCAACGATAGCTCCCACAGACAGGCCGGAGGAGTGAGGAGGAGGAGGAGGAGGAGGAGAGGGAGGGGTGGGCTCAGCGATGGGGATGCAGGAGGGGCAGAATTCGCTGCACTGGTAGCAGAACTGGGAGGAGAGGCTCTGCTTGACCACGCAGGACTGTCCAGCTCCTGTGGGGCATTCGGCCCCACTCTTCTTCAGCACCTCACTGGGTGGGGGAGGGAGTGGGGGAGGGAGTGGGAGAGGGAGTGGGGGAGGGAGTGGGAGAGGGAGTGGGGGGGGGGGAAGGGGGGAAGGGAGTGGGGAAGGGAGGGGGGGAGGGAGTGAGGAAGGGAGGGGGGGGAGGGAGGGGGTGAGGGATGGGGATGCAGGCAGTAGGAGTGTCCGGCTGCTGTGGAGTGGAACAAACAGCACCGCTCTGCTTTAGCACCTCACCGCAGTGAGGGAGGGACGGAGAACGGAGGGCGAGTGGAGGGAAAGAAAGAGGCGCTCTGATAGACAATGCAGGACTGCTTTTGAGGTGCCTCAAAAGGCGCTCTGCTAGACAATGCAGGACTGCTTTTGAGGCGCCTCAAAAGGCGCTCTGCTTGACAATGCAGGACTGCTTTTGAGGCGCCTCATAAGGCGCTCTGCTTGACAATGCAGGACTCCTGCTCGGCTCGGCCACTGCAGTGAGGGCAAGAAAGGGAATCAGGGATAGGCTGATCTTTGAACCAAGCTGCACAACTCCATTTTCCCTCCCCTCTCAGGGAAAATGGAGTTCTGCAGACCCTCCATTCCCTCCCCTCCATTCTTTGAACCAAGCTGCAGAACTCCATTCTCCCCATTCCCCCTCTCCTTGCGGCTTACAGCTAGTTAGTCAGATGGACGAGGTCTTTAAGGAGTTGGAGGTGCAATGACTGAAAGAAACACTTTTCAGGTGCTTCTCAAATCCAGGTGATTTTGAGGTACCCTACCCCCCACCCCACCCCTCTCCTAGCAGCTTACAGGCTAGACTGATGGACGAGGTTCCCAGAAGTTGGAGGCACAGTGCCTGAGTATGAAGAAGTGTTTTGAGACGTCTCAAAACACTTCCCAGAAGTTGGAGGCACAGTGCCTGAGTATGAAGAAGTGTTTTGAGACGTCTCAAAACACTTCCCAGAAGTTGGAGGCACAGTGCCTGAGTATGAAGAAGTGTTTTGAGACGTCTCAAAACACTTCCCAGAAGTTAGAGGCAGAGTGCCTGAGTATGAAGAAGTGTTTTGAGACATCTCAAAACACCTCCCAGAAGTTGGAGGCACAGTGCCTGCGAGAGTGACTTCTGCGGTGATTCGAACTTCCTTCCCATTCCCTCCCCTCCACCCTACCCCCACCCCTCTCCTTGCGGCTTACAGGCTAGTTAGACGGACGAGGCTGCCAAGCGTTGGAGGCACAGTGCCCGAGAGATCATTGTAGTCGAAGCTTCTGCATGGGGGGGGTAGAGTAGATCAATGAAGGGATGAAGGGTAGACGAATGAACGGATGAAGGCGGATTCATGATGGGACAAGGGCCAGCAGAGGTTCCCACGAGTTGGAGGCACAGTGCCCGAGAGATCATTGTAGTCGAAGCTTCTGCATGGGGGGTAGAGTAGATCAATAAGGATGAGGGCGCATTCATGGCTGGCGGGATCATACGGCGGATTGGTGACGGGACAAGGCAAGGGCAAATCAAAGGTTTTTAAGAGTCAGAGCTGTTAAAAATTAGGTCATCAACACTTTGTACTATGCTTTATATTGCGTAGGTTATTTGTAGGTTGGGTGCAGGTCTGTCATCCCAACCTTATCTGGTTGGGATTCTCCCTGTAATGAACCCAATCTGCCAACTCATCATTGGAGATTCGGTTGGAGCGCGTTCTTTCTTAATCAATCAGTTCGAGCTCAGTCCTAACAAGAGCCATAGTGCTTGAACGATCATTGTAGTCAAAGGTGGGGGTAAAATCAATGAAGGGGTGAGAGTGAGTCAATGATGGAATTAGGGTGAAGCGCACGACCTGTGAGGCGCCTTAGAAATTGTCGCAGTCCCCCCTGAGCCTTCTCGTGTGCTCGAGTAGTTTGTGAAGCGTACAGATTGATTTGAATCAGCTGTGACTCAAGGCTGCAAGTTAAGATTCAAGAGCCAAGAGTCTGGCAGGTAGGTAGGTTGGTGGTAGGTGTGTGTGTGTGTGTGTGTGTGTGTGTGTGTGTGTGTGTGTATGCCTGTGTGTGTGTGTGAGTGTGCGTGCGTGCATGTGTCCATGTATGTAGGCATGTCAGTATGCGGCATGCATGTGGTCTTACTTACAGGAGTGTGAGCTTGGTAAGATTTCCCAGCTCATATGGAATCTCCCCTGTGAATAAATTATGCAGAAAGATGTTCATACTGTATGTATGCATACACGTTGCGCTTACAGGAGTGTGAGCTTGGTAAGATTTCCCAGCTCATATGGAATCTCCCCTGTGAATCGATTTTGCTGAAAAGACCTGCAAAAGAAACGGACAGTACAAAGGATACTACCAATAATGAGAATGCTTATAAACTACCATGCTTTTTTAGAGTCCCATGTACAATACAGTTAGGGGTGAGCAAGGGGCGAACACGAACGTGTTTGTGTTTGCCCCTGCACGAACACAGCCGTTCGCCGAACCGAACAGTGTTCGGTTCGGCGAACACTTTTAGCCAAAAAGGGTGTTCGGTGTTCGCCTGTGAAGGCGTGTTCGGGCGAACCTCGAACACGTTCGTGTTCGACGCGGGGCAAATTGCAGCAGCGACCCGAACACGAACATGTTCGGGCGAACATCGAACATGTTCGCCCCGAACACTTAAGGCAAAAAAAAAAACCTATTCGGTTTGCTTCGAACGTGTTCGAGGCGAACCGAACAGGCGTTCGTGATTTTGCTCACCCCTAAATACAGTTACTGATGAGATTGGTCCAGAGATTTGAAATAGATTAAGGCACCTATCGATACATACAATACAGCAACAACCATATGAAGCTAGTTTTGCACGAATGCACAACGTACATACACCTGATACGAGTGTGTGTCATATGTAAATTATCTAAGTGTGAGCTTCTTTGGCATTTGACGAGTCAATTTTTTAGTCGACTAAAAAATCGACTCATCATACACCTGATACGAGTGTGTGTGCGTACGTAAGTGTGAGATTCTTTGGTTTGACATTGAACATGAATTTAAAACTCAAGTGGCCTACGCTTTATAGACTATGACATTGGCAGGTATATGGGAAGGCTTTAAAGCCCACTCACAACATGTTTTTCTAAGGCGCATCAAACTTAATGTCAACAGCGACGTTCGAAGGTATGTGGGGAAGGCTTTAAAGCTAACTCGCAGCATATATAGAATTGTGAGGTCGAGTTTCGGACGTCTTAAAACAAGAAGGCACGGAAACTCACTCACAGCATGTACAGGTTGGTGAGGTTGGCAAAGGAAGTGGGGATGGGTCCTTTCAATGTGTTGTTGGTGAAATCGCTGCAAACACGTGAAGGGTTGACATGTCAGTGTGAAGGGATGTGAATGGAATGTGGATGGAATGTGGATGGAATGTGGATGTGATGTGGATAGGATGCGACTGGGATGTAAATGGGATGTAATCCATAGCCAATACACACATGTGAGCGAAGCATGCATGTCGCATATTAGCACACCCACACATGTGTGAGCATGCATACATGTGAGCACACACACATATGTGAACATGCATGGGTGTGTGTAACACACAAACAAATGTGAACAGGCAGGGATGTGAGCACACGCATGCATACAGGTGAGAGAGCCTTCCGAGGGAGGAGCTTTTGAGTCGACTCAAAAGCATGTCGCATATTAGCACATCCACACATGTGTGAGTATGCATACAGGTGAGCACACACACATGTGTGAGTATGCATACAGGTGAGAGAGCCTTCCGAGGGAGGAGAGAGTTGTTGGGAGGGCGCCGGTAAGGAGATTGTGAGCAAGCGCACTGGGAGGAGAGGGACAGAGGAGGGTTCAAAGGAGAAAGATGGGGGGGGGTAAGATGGGGAGAGGTAAGATAGGGAGAGGTAAGATAGGGAGAGGTAAGATGGGGAGAGGTAAGATAGGGAGAGGTAAGATAGGGAGAGGTAAGATAGGGAGAGGTAAGATAGGGAGAGGTAAGATGGGGAGAGGTAAGATAGGGAGAGGTAAGTTGGGGGGAGGTAAGATAGGGAGAGGTAAGTTGGGGGGAGGTAAGATAGGGAGAGGTAAGTTGGGGGGAGGTAAGATGGGGAGAGGTAAGATGGGGAGAGGTAAGATGGGAAGCGAAAGAACATGAAGAAGGTGAGAAGGAGGAGGTGTTGTGAATAAGGTGAATGAAGCATGGAGAGTCAGACAGGCAGAGTGGGAAGTAACTGTTGCTCTTCATAGGTAAACGCTGTTCTCAGTAAAAACACAAGGCACACACTGGTATGAGCTGCGATTGGCTGCTGCTTACTTACACTCTTTGCAAACTGGTCAGGTTTCCAAGCTCCGGGGGGATGGTTCCGCCAAAACTGTTTTGCGATATGTCACTGGAGGAGAGGGCGGCACACATTGTAGAATGTGTAGTGGAGAGTGTGTGACAGTTCTTTCAAGAGTGTGGAAAGAGCAGTGCAGATAAGCAGATAATCGTTGCAGAGGATACACTCCATACCATATTTTAATGTGTGTGTGACAGTAATCAACAACTGCTACAGTACAAGGAGGGGAGCAGACACGGCACTGGCTGATAGATATGTAGCAGACGAGCAGGGGACAATGATATCAATCTAGTCTGATGTGTAATTGTATATATGTTCATCGAGTCGAATAATCTACTAGGAGAAATTCACATAAACGTTTATACACAATGAACAGCTTGTATGCATGCTGATCTTTTACAACTGCTGAGAATCTACTAGGAGCAACTCACATGAAAGATAATCTGGTGAGAAATGCCAGCGCTGAGAGGATCTTCCCTTGAACAGAGTTTCCGTGCACCTGGCTGCAAACACCAGGCAGGCAGGCAGGCAGGCAGGCAGGCAGGCAGGCAAGCAGGCAGGCAGGCAGGCAGGCAGGCAGGACAACGAGTATGGTCTGTTTTGAGATGACTTTTGAGGCGCCTCAAAAGGCAGGCAGGCAGGACAACAAGTATGGTCTGTTTTGAGATGACTCGAAACTATGAGTGAGATGACATCTCAAATTATGAAACTATGTGGCAGCATGTGTACGTATGTATGGTGCCTTCCCAGCAGCATGAAGGAAGGTGTGTGTCAGCCCAGCAGCAGCGTACATACAAAAACTGGAGCCTAGAGAGGCGAGAGATGGACGGGGGAACCACTCCTGAGAGCCCATTGTAGCTGAGGGACCTGCAGGTCAGAGAGACAGGGAGGAGATTCTGGGGTGGCTGTAATGTAAGTGAAACGCGCCAACAGCAGGAGGAAATGACTCCTGAGAGCCCATTGTAGCTGAGGGACCTGCAGGCAGGTCAGAGAGACAGGGAGGAGGGAATTCAGATGCTTGAGATGCCACCTCAGAATACAGCGAGACATGGACGGCGGAATGACTCCGTAGAGCCCATTGTAGCTGAGGGACCTGTAGGTTAGAGAAGGAGGAGGGAATTCAGATGCTTGGCACGTCTGGAAACACGGTACGGCATGGACGGCGGACGGAATGACTGTTGAGAACCCCTTGTAGCTGAGGGACCTGTAGGTCAGAGAAGGAGGAGGGAACTTCTGTGGCTGGGACAACTGGCCAATACATGTGGGAACGGGCCCTGTCAGATACCTTACGTCTTTGTTTTGTACCGCCCTATTTTGTGCCCACACCCCTTTGCACCACACCGCTTTCTACCCGCCCTTCCCCTCCCTGTCTCTCACAGCCTCTGTAGGCGCGACAGCTGGCCAATGCTGGCAGGAATGGACCCTTTCAGAGCGTTGAAACTCAAATCGCTGGGGGGTTGGGCGGTGGGCAAGAAGAAGGGGGGAAAGGGGAGCGGGGAAATGGGAGTGGGGGAAGGGGAGCGGGGGAAGGGGAGCGGGGAAGGGGGAGCGGGGTAAGGGGAGTGGGGGAAAGGGGAGCGGGGGAAGGGGAGCGGGGGAAGGGGAGTAAGGGAAGGGGAGTGGGGGAAGGGGAGCGGGGAAGGGGAGTGGAGGAAGGGGAGCGGGGAAAGGGGAGCGGGGAAAGGGGAGTGGGGGAAGGGGAGCGGGGAAGGGGAGTGGGGGAAGGGGAGCGGGGAAAGGGGAGTGGGGAAAGGGGAGTAAGGGAAGGGGAGAAGGAAGGAGAAGAGATGAAGGTGAAGGAGAGAGGGATATGGAACGAGGATGGGATGGAGCAGGGGTGGGGTGGGAAGAGAGGGGCCAGGGTGCACAGAGGGAGCAGGGGTGGGGTGGGGAGAGAGGGGCCAGGGTGCACAGAGGGGGCAGGGGTGGAAAGAGGGGGTAGAGGTGGGGGGAAAGAGGAGAGGGTGGGGGGAAAATGGGGGGAGAGGAAGGAGATAGGGGGGAAGGGAAACAGAGGACGAGGGGAAGGGGAGAAGGGAAGGCAAGCAGAGGATGAGGGGAAGGAGAGAAGGAAAGAGGTTGCAGAGGCACAGCAGCAGCGAATGTGCTTCACAAATCACACTGCACTCACATCGTAGTGAGTGTTGTGAGCTTGCCTATATCGGAGCAGATGCTTCCAGTGAGATTGTGGTTGTGAAGATCACTGCAGGGGGGCAGTGTGGGGGGCGGGAGCACCTAATAGGCTCTATCATGATATCGGAGTTGTGAAGTTCACTGCAGGAGGGAAGTGGGTGGATGGCAGGAGCTGTGGGGGAAAGAGAGCGGTTGAAATAGTTCAAAAGTGATTCGGAAACGTTTCAATAGAGATTGGAGCGGTGCAGAAGAGGGGTGGACGGGACAGCAGCAAGGGAAAGAAAAGCATTGCAGGAAAGAGGCATGGGTTATCAAAGGCCTGGTAAATACGAAAATTAAGAAGGGGGGAGAGGGAGAGAGTGGGGTGGTGGGGGAGGAAGGAAGGTGGGAAGATGTGAGTGCTAAGAGCATCAAGGCCTACTGCTTATAGCGGGTACAGCTTACTTCCCCCACTGTACATTACGCAAGAAATGAACGTTCTGTTCAGGTTATGCCCAGCTGAGCTCCACCCCCATCGTGCACTGTATACAACATGGCACAATGCTTATAACGAGTACAACCCGATCGCTCAGTGTGGAAAACTCACATGGTGTTGACTAAGCCGTCTCGGTTACACAGCAACCCCACCTCCATCCCGCATGCAGTGGTGTTGCTCCAATTGTAACCTTTTACACCCATCTCCACCGCACACTGTGCCAATACTTCACCTGCTCACACACAAAATGACAGTAATGGTCCAATGGTGACTTACAAACGGGATTTGAGAAAACCGATACTGGCACAAGCGTGAGTACTACAAGCACATGTTACTACAATACAAGCACATGTGTTACTACAAGAACACGCGATACAGTCGCATGCGATACAGGCACACGCAGTTCAGACACATACGATATCAATACAAGTGTACGCGATACAAGCCAGACCTTGCCCCGAGTTCACAAGAATGGCGGCCACGGAAAGCGCCGCATTGTGGCAAAACGCGATGAAGCCAAGGAACAGCAGAAGTAGCTGCGGCAGCCGCTGCCGTGGCGATGACGGCGGCGTCGCCTGCTGGTGGTAACCTCGTGGCGGAAACCGGCGAGGTGAACAACCATGCTGATCGCGAACGCTGGAGGTCGCCGCCGCCATTCGCGAAGCGTCGCACGGAGCGACTCGGGTTACGACCAGGGGAAACGATATCGAGACGAAATGCAGCGCGGATTGAGGAAGGATAATAAATGTTGACGCTAGCTGAAGCGCGGACTTTTAAGGTGAAAAAGCGGTTGGGAGGAGCGACTGGCTCCGCGACCTGTGGTGGCTCGCGAAACGATTATTGTCGCCTAGGGTTGTCGAAAATAATTAATCGCACAGAGATAGTCGCCTAAAACTCGTCGCCTAGGGTTGTCGCCTGCAGGTTGTCGCCTACGTGACGACGCGTAATGTCGCCTACAGGGGGTTGGCGGGAATCGCGCGTGAAGTGGAGGGAGCGAGCGGCACTACAACGTGCGTTACTTCAAGCAAGATGGCTTGAGACGCCTTTATATCGTCGCCTAGACATTGTCGTCACAGATTGTCGCTTATTGTCGCCTAAAGGCGCTTGGCGGGAATCGAGCGTCGGTGGAGGGAGCGGTAGTATTACGTACGTTGCTCGGCTTAAGACGTCTTAACGCACATAAATGACGAGAGATTTGCACAGCCTCCGGTACTGCTTGGCCTTGTTAGGCGGTGAGCCGATAAATAAGAAGGATTTGCCGCACGGATTGAAGGCTATCTGCAATAATGTCACCTGGAGATTATCGCGAATCCCGCAAAATCTTGGTGGCCAAAATCCCGCAATGTCGTCTGGATATCATCGGCAATCCTTCTGCGAGCCTCATCTCAAAACGCGTAAGATATGGTTCACAGGCGTCGTCGGCTCGACTCTCGTTTAGAACCCCCACGGACTCAACTGCTTACATGACGTGGCAGTGCAGCGACATTCACGGCCAGCTCCAAATACCTTACGCTGTTGAAGAATATAATAATTGCCTGGAACGATCTCGGTATGACGATTTACTTAGCTTGTGTGTAGTGTAGAGCGAGGAGTGTGGATGCGCGTTCTGCTTGGTGGGAAAGCTGCCATAGTTGAAACGTTGCTGGCAGGGAAGTAGCAGCCTTAGAAGGCTAGGAAAACGAGGATAGAGTGCTCTCTGGAGTTCTCTGGAAATTGCACTATGACTTCACAAATTTCACAGTACAATTTTATAAAGCACATTCAAATATCGAGTCGCACTCCCAAGTCGCGACTCTCTCTGGATTTCTCAATGGTAACCCAACCCCTTTGAAATGAACCTGCCGTGAAATTCAGAGAATTATTGCGGTACGGGATTGGACGGCGAGCTTGGTTACGGGGCTGTAATTTCGTCGGTGTTGTTGGCGAAGTCGGCGAGCGGTCGGAACTTCGGTGTTCTGCGTTTCGTAATTTTCGCGCGAGGGTTTGTGTTGGGCTTGTCAGAATATTATCTTATTGTTCTAGCCTGTAGTGGGGTGCTCTATAGCGAGTACAACCCTTCTAGGGTTTGCTATTTGTATCCTCATTCTTGCTAGTTCAATCCTCTTTCTTCCTTCTAACTTTGACAGGGCTGCGCGTCAGGACCTGGTCGCCCAGCTGCAGGTTGAGGCGTTTGACCAATACGAACAGTTGGTGAGGTGGCGCTTGACTTCTGCCCACCTGCACTGTACTTGGCAGCATTCGGCTGCCACACTGTTACATTACTTCCCCCTCCAAGTGGCGCCGTCCACGGCGCCAAACCGTGGCTGGTCAAATACCGATTCACAGCAGTTGCGGCACGGTCAAGGTGGCTCTCTGGTTCCCATGAGTCGTCACTAGTAGGCTGGTCCTTCCAATGAACAAGAAACTCGCGACCATGAGGTGTGTCGCAATGTGCAGCGATAGATGCAACCTCAAACAGGCCGGGGCTGCCTTCGAACATCGGTGGCAGTCGGCGTGTGGCTGGACGGTCGTGTGAAGGTGCACGGAAAGGGCGGAGGCGCTGGACATGGAAGACGGGGTGAATCTTCATATAGCTGGGTAGTTGGAGACGGTAGGTGACTGGTGAGAGGACTCGGGTGATGGTGAACGGGCCAATAAAGCAAGGGGCGAGTTTTCTGGTTGTGCCTTTGCGTAGGAGAGGTAGGTGGTCAGTGGAGAGTAACACTTGATCGCCAACCTTGAAGCGTATATATTTGCGGTGGGAGTTGGCATAGTGGGTCTGTTTGGCTTGAGCTTTAAGGATGGAGGTGCGAGCGGCATCAATGGCTGATTCGAGTGAGGTGAGGAACTCAAAGGCTACTGGTGCATGGGAGAGGTGGGGGGGTGGGGTCGTGGGGAGGCGGGGGTGCTGTCCGGTTGGGAGGTAGAAGGGTGGCTGGCCGGTGGAAAGGTGGGGTGTGCTGTTGTATGCGAGTTCGATGGCGGTGAGGTGGAGATCCCAATCAGTTTGGCGAGGAGTAACTTGTGCACGGAGGGAGTCTTCAAGCGTGCGGTTCATCCGTTCGGTTTGTCCGTCCGTTTCAGGGTGATACGCGGTAGAAAACTTCAGCCGGGTTCCGTGAAGCTTGAAGAGGCTCTGCCAAAAGTTACTCAAGAAGCGGGGGTCACGATCTGAAATGATGGCGGATGGGAGACCATGTAGGCGGACTATGTGATCGAAGAAGAGTCGGGCTGTTTCGGGTGCGGTGACGGTTGTGTGGGTAGGAATGAAGTGGCTCATTTTGGAGAGTCGGTCGACGACGACTAGGATAGCGTTGTAGCTGCGGGGTGTGCAGGGCAGATCCATGATGAAGTCCATGGTGACTTCATCCCACACTTTGGTAGGTGGAGGGATGGGCTGAAGGAGTCCGTAGCGGTTGGTGGTGTGTGCTTTGAGTTGTTGGCAGGTGCGGCAGGTGCGTATGAAGTCACGCACATCAACATGCATGCGTGGCCAATGGTAGTCATTGGAGAGGCGTGCGTAGGTCTTCTCAACACCAAAGTGGCTGCCGGTAATGGTGTCGTGGTATTCGGAGAGTAGCAGCTGTCGTAAGGAGCGATCTGCAGGGACACAAATGGTCTTGGTGACGGTGTTGTACCAAAATGGGTCTTCAAATGAGTAGGCCGGGTCCTCGGGTGCTTGCTTGACAAAAAACAGGTCAAGTTTGTTGGCGCGCTGAAATTTCGTGATGAAGGTATCATCCCAAGTGATGGTGCTGATTCCATGGAGCTGCAAGGGTGGGTTCGGAGTGTGAGGTGGAGGTGATGAGGTGGGGCTGGTTGGGGAGTGGTGGGGCTGGTTGGTGGTTGGTTTGTGTCAAACTTATATGCTATAGTCTGTGTAGGGTGTAGTGGGGTACACTATATGGGGTACAACATTTCTAGGATTTCCTACTTGTACCCACCTCTTTCCTAGTTCATTCATTCCTCATTTCTTCACATGGTATAGAGCAGGTTCCCTAGTGGGAACGCTTCCTTGGGCCCACCACTGAATATATTTTTTCTGACCGGAGTGCCAGTCTCTCCTGCCCGAGGCGCGCCTTGTGGGCCGCCCTTCTGTTGAGCTCTCTTAGAGGCCCCTCTCACGACCCCTCGCACCACCCTTAGCGGCCCCGTCGCCGCCCCTAGCGGCCCCATCACCGCCCTTCCAGGCCCCTCGCGGCCCCTAGCGGCCCCGTCGCCGCCCCTACGCGGCCCCGTCGCCGCCCCTAGCGGCCCCGTCGCCGCCCCTAGTGGCCCCGTCGCCGCCTCTCTCCCTACGCGGCCCCGTCGCCGCCCCTACGCGCCCCCGTCGCCGCCCCTAGCGGCCCCGTCGCCGCCCCTACGCGGCCCCGTCGCCGCCCCTAGCGGCCCCGTCGCCGCCTCCCTCCCTACGCGGCCCCGTCGCCGCCCCTACGCGGCCCCGTCGCCGCCCCTAGCGGCCCCGTCGCCGCCTCCCTCCCTACGCGGCCCCGTCACGGCCCCTACGCGGCCCCGTCGCCGCCCCTAGCGGCCCCGTCGCCGCTCCCCTCCCTACGCGGCCCCGTCGCCGCCCCTAAGCGGCCCCGTCGCTGCCCCTACGCGGCCCCGTCGCCGCCCCTAGCGGCCCCATCGTAGCTCCCCTCCCTCGCGGCCCCGACGCCGCCCCTACGCGGCCCCGTCGCCGCCCCTAGCGGCCCCATCGCCGCCCCTACGCGGCCCCGTCGCCGCCTCTAGCGGCCCCGTCCCCTCCTCCCTCTCTACGCGGCCCCGTCGCCGCCCCTACGCGGCCCCGTCGCCGCCCCTAGCGGCCCCGTCGCCGCCTCCCTCCATACGCGGCCCCGTCGCCGCCCCTACGTGGCCTCGTCGCCGCCCCTACGTGGCCTCGTTGCCGCCCCTACGCGGCCCCGTCGCCGCTCCTACGCGGCCACGTCACCGCCCCTAGCGGCCCCGTCGCCGCTCCCCTCCCTACGCGGCCCCGTCGCCGCCCCTACGCGGCCCCGTCGCCGCCCCTAGCGGCCCCGTCGCCGCCTCCCTCCCTACGCGGCCCCGTCGCCGCCCCTACGTGGCCTCGTCGCCGCCCCTACGCGGCCCCGTCGCCGCTCCTACGCGGCCACGACACCGCCCCTAGCGGCCCCGTCGCCGCTCCCCTCCCTACGCGGCCCCGTCGCCGCCCCTAGCGGCCCCGTCGCCGCCCCTACCCGGCCTCGTCGGCGCCCCTAGCGAGCAGCCGAGCCGCCGAGCCGCCCAGCAGCC